AGCTGTATTCGTCGCAAGTGGGAAAAATTTAAATCGGCATGGCACTTTACTCCAATTGGCTCATTCGATTGCTTAAACTCAACGTTGATTCTGATTCCGCAGAACTGGATTGGGTGTGAAAAGTATTTGTTGTTAACATTCTTTTTTCATTCGGTTTTTCCAGTTACGAGTCCTTTTTAAAGCTGATCTTTTGTGTTCATTTTGTTTAGTTCTTTTTTTTCGTAACAGATTTAATGTTTAGTATAGAGCTTAGAAAAAAAATTCGCAGTGTGAGATAGGCAAGAAGTAAGGCATGTAGAAACATCAGCACGGCAAAGGGCACTCCTTTAAAGGCAAGGAAGGGCAAAAATATTTTAAGTCAAGTGATAGCGATTGCTGTATGAGTCGCACGGGCCATGCTGCTAGTCTTACTATAATTTTCTTTCTGCAAACCAAGCCCAGGTTACTTGAAGATTCGCAATCCAGAATCTATACCGGCAGCAAACCGCCAGTATACAGATGTAAAATGAATTCAGTAAATATACAAAAATATAAAAGGATGTAAGACAAGGATATATCTACTCACCAGACTTATTCAACGTATACAGCGAAGCGATTCTGAGAGAATTAGAAGTCCTACCAGAGAGTATTATTGGCGGCTATAAGCTTAACGGCATAAGCTATGCAGATGACACCGTGTTCAAAGCAGACACAGAAAGGAAAAAAACAAAACAAAACAAAAAAACTCCGACACAAGGTAGTGGAGTTAAGCGATGAGAAAGGAGTAAACATCAATTGATGTGCATGGTTGTCAGCAAAAGGATCAGTTCAACACGTAGATTACAAATTGGAGAGACTAAAACTTTTTAAATATCTGGGAAGTGTCTTAACAGAAAACGGAAAGTGCGACACCGAAATCCGAAGGTGCCTTTCAAATGTTAAGTAAATTATTAAAAAACAGAAAAGAAAAGAATACTGTAATATCGAAACTTCTACATAGCAATATTTATTGTACTATTGTGTACTGATTCATAACAAGGTTAAAATGGAGAACGCGAAAAGTGTTGGTTTTCAATTGTCTTAATTGTAACTTAGCTAACTCCAATCACTGACCCTTTCTCTACAATATTGTTGCTTTTACCAAAATACCACATTTACACTGCGAATCCACAGGTTCCATAATACGGCATCTATTTTATGAACGCCTTCATAATAATGCCATATGTACAAAATTTGGTTTGGTTTGTTTTGTTTTACGGCTTATCAACCAAGATTTTTATTGCTGGTAATATATTTTTTTCCCAAAAATATATTGCTGGTAATATTTTTTTTCCAAAAATGTGTTGCTGGTAATATTTTTTTTTCCAAAAATGTATTGCTGGTAATATTTTTTTTCCTAAAATTTATTGCTGGTAAGATTTTTTTTGAAAAAATGTATTGCTGGTAATATTTTTTTTCCAAAAATATATTGCTGGTAATAATTTTCCAAAAATGTATTGCTAGTAATATTTTTTTTCTTCAAAAATTCATTGTTGGTAATAATTTTTACAAAAATGTATTCCTGGTATTAAAACCTATTTTTACAATTTCATAGTGTTTTGACACCGATTTGGGGGTAACTATTTGTCCATAGCTGGGACCCTAGCAGGTTCTACCAGCCCGGGCCAGGGTCGACCTGGGCACACCAGCAATTAAAAGGTGGCTCTGCGCTCCTCAAAACCTCCTGATCAGAGGCCTTGCTGTCGGTTGTAGTTTATCGCCTTACCCAGGACATGCATGTAGTTTATCGTTTTACCCAGCACGCGGATGTAGTTTATCATCTTACCTATGACGTGTACAGTCTTTGTAGTGACATAGGAAAACATTTTACCAAGTATCTTTAAAATCTCTCCAATGCGTACTTACAATGAAAAATATATACGAAATTCACAAAATAATTGTTATTAAAGTGAATCTCTGCCGTCTAATTGTGGCAGGAATGTCAGTTAACTGGGCGAAAAAATTGTCAGATTAATATAGTTCACATCAGTGAATGCTGGACAATCTCCTCACAGATGAAGAAGAGGTTTGAAGCAACAGAAATGTGGGTCTATAGAAGGATGCCGGGAATACCATGGAACAAACATGTGAGCAACGACGAAGATTTAGAGAAAATGGAAACAAAAAGGACACTAATACTTAACATCAAGTAGAGACAGTTAACATTTCTCCGGCATATAATGAGGAAGGAGGGCTTGGAAAATTTGATACTTACAGGACAGTTTGAAGGCAAGAGGAACAGAGGAAAGCTAAACATAACCTCCGTAGAGAACTTGTGTTTATGTATGGCGTAACAAGATTTCGGAGAGATAACACAAAGTAAAAATTTAATAAGAGCTACAACGAACAGGAAATTGTGGAGAGCCTTGATCGCCAATGTCCTGAAGGGACACGGCAGGTATAAGAAGTTTGCAAACTCAAGAATTCTGTTAATAAATACAAGTAATTTTAACATGAGGATAGTGACAAGAATGAACTAAATTTTTGGAGACAGTTCAACCTACTGCCTATGAATAATCATCGGGTTTTGTATCATTTGTATTTGGTCTGCACCTAACGAATTCCATTGTTGTAATTATATCATGACCACTCAGTACTAATATACGTATCTTTGATTTGGCAGTCATATTTCGACGATTGTACCCTTCGCCCTTCTTCAGAGCTAATTGTTCAGATGAACTATGAGACCTAGACTTTATGAATTTGAGCGCAGTACTGGACTCGCAGCGAGGTCTCATAAATTTACAGTTGGGTTAGCTAGATGTAACCGTAAGTTCTATGCTAACGGTGTCTTTTCTTGTACTTCTCGCTTGTGGAACACTCTTCTGGCCCCATGCTTTCCAGTCAACTTTGATCTATCTATCTATCTATCTATCTATCTATCTATCTATCTATCTATCTTATGTGTATATATTTGTCTAAACACATATTTCTATCATGGATATTAATACTAACAAGCGTGAGTGTATGTCTCCCTCTCTCTCTCTCTATATATATATATATATGAAATGCGTAGCTTTTTTTATGGATGTATCTAAAGTTATAGAAATTTTTTATTTTCAAACATGTTCTGCACATTGTAACCATGTTCATAGTTAAAGTCATTGAGTGTTGGCTTTTCCTATTTTATTATCAATGCTTACCTTATTTTTAACATTATTTTTAGATGTGGATGTAGCTAGTATGCTTGTATTTGCTGCTAGTATATTGCTGATGGAGGTTGGTAGGATTCCGTGTGTGTTTAAATGAGTCCTAATTAAGCTATGATCAGATAGGTGTAGTTAGGAATGTCATAGTAAGAGTAATATAGCTATTTATGAGTTTACTTTGATCAGGAACACAAATCGATCGATTGATCGATAAATAGATAGATAGATAGATAGATGACTTAAAATGATTTAACTTCCGATTTGAAGTTTCGCAGATGTGCATTTCGCTCGTCAGCTATTTACTATATTCATTAAAACACACACACACACACACACACACACACACATATATATATATAGCTAATATTAGTGGTAAATATACACATATATATGCAAAATATATAAATATATATACATAGGTGCAAACACATACATGTATATTTTTTGAATAAAAAATTCCAAGAGGATAGAATCCAGGTAGAACTCAATGTCCAGGACAGAGTAAGGATATAATAAAAAAGGCTTAAACGCTAATATTCCATGGTCATAATTTATTCCACTGGAATCGTAAATACGATCCAATTCATCAGATCTACAAATTCAAAAAGAAAACAGAAAAAAACAACTCCGGAAATAAAAATAGAATTTAGAGAGAGTGTAAGTATGAGAGTGTGGGACGAATGTTAGAGCTAAAGAGAGGGGTAACAGACGAGAGAAGGTGGGAGATTAAACCTTAACAGAGAGAAGTTTTAGAGAGGTGAGTGGAAGAGGTTTAAGTGAGAGAAACATGAATGTTGTCGGATGTTAAATACAATTGTTATGTATTGTCCTCCTAATTACTCTTCTTTTGTTCTGGCTCATTAGTAATGTTTATATTTTCTAATTATTCCACAAGTAACCCCTTGAGCTTTAGTGGCTTTACTGTCTTGCTTGGGGTGAACTCGATGAAAAATATATTTCGCTTATTCCTAGACTTCATGAATTCAAGCGTTTTACGAGGCTGGCATCCCGCTCTCACCCTTTCACTGTTGAAACTGTTAAATGTACCCGTCTCTTCTACTCCAATAGCTTCATATCTCGCACCTCTCGCCTGTGGAACTCTCTTCCCTTTTCCTGTTTCCCTGAGAACAATAATCTCCAATTATTCAAATGTAATGTTAATCGACATCTCCAGTTGCCTTGATTTATCCACTACCCTTCTCCTCATCCTTTCCTCTATCACATCTATCTGCTCTCGCTCCAAATCCTCTGTAACCCCTTGCGTGCTAATGGCTTCCGGCCTTGCTTGGGGTGAAATGCTTTAAAAAAAAAAGAAGAGCTACAGGAATAGTAGACTTATAAATATGTAAGAGAGATTCAGGAGAGAAAAATTATTTAGCATGACACTGTAAACCACTGTTCTTTTATTGTCCTTTCTCATCAAAAAATCTTCGTCTTATCTTTCACTCCCACTAACCTCCTTACGTCTTAGTGGCATTATCGCCTTGCCTGAGGTGAGATGATTAAAACAAATATTTATATATAGTAAAGTAAAAAAAAAAAAAAATGGATAGATAATCCGACAAATAATAATAACAACCTCTGAATTACGTAAATACACGGTTCATAAAGTAAGGGTAGTGTATGCCATTTACTTCGGATTTCTGCATACTGACTCTACAATCCCAGGTTTGCGTAGAAAGCATCATAAACACGTTGGTAGGGGTCAACAGCAGCCTACTTTGTCCACACCCCGATGTCCAATTTTGCTAATATTGCTCCGAGATTAAAAACATTATGCAAAACAGTGTTCCATTACGACTTCTTTTCTTCGCGTGACACCCCTCCCGCGAAATGACGTCAGACATTGTAGGCAGGACCCACGGTTATTGGCAACTCAGCGCCTGCAAACTTATCTCTTCCTGTTCGATGAATCTCTTAATGTTTGCACTTTCCCTGGCTGAGATACGGAATGAGGACATCGCTGTTTACTGCAAAGTACATGCTACCTATTACTCTCCTACCCGCCCCTTTTCCTTCTCTTGTCTTTCTTTTTCTTTTCTTTCTTTATTCTTACTCTCTCTTTTCTTTCTTTCTTTCTTTCTTTCTTTCTTTCTTTCTTTCTTTTTAAATCTTTGTTTATTTCGTATTCCCTCTCGGTTTCCTCCATTTTTCGTTCTTAATTCTTATCTCTTTTTTATTCTTTTTCCCTTTCCTATTCATTTCGTTTCTTCTTCTTCTTCTCTCTTTTTCTCTCTTTTTCTTTCCTGCATTATCTCTTTTTTCCTCTTCTTCGTTTCTAGATTCTTCTTATTTTCTTTTCTTCTCTACATATTTCTCCCACCCTTTATTCATTTGTTCTTAGTTCCGTGACTTCCGCGATTTTCCTTCTTTCCTTTCTTTCCTTCCATCCGACCTATCTCCCTCTCTTCCTTATTCACTATTTTCCACCCTGGATTCCTTCCTTTCGAGTCATCCTTCTTTTTTTCTCCCATCTTTCATTCGACCATTCTTTCCTTCATTTAATCACCCCTCCTTTCTTAGAACTTTTCCTTCCTTCCTTCCTTCCTTCCTTCCTTCCTTCCTTCCTACTTTTCTTCCACCTTTCTACCCTATATTCCATCCTTCCTGCTTTCTTTGATTCGGTCATTTCTCTCTTTTGCTTATCTTCTTTTCCCCATCTCCCTTCCACCCTTCTTCCTTTCATTTATTCATCCTTCCCTCCTTAGCTCTTTCCCTCACTTCCTTCCCATAATTTTCTTTTATTCTTTTCGCAACTTCCATTATAATTTTTTATTTCGTTCAATTTCTCTTAGTATGGTTTTCATATTTATTTATCCGCTCGCTTATCCAGTTTCTTTCTTTCTTTCTTTCTTTCTTTCTTTCTTTCTTTCTTTCTTTCTTTCTTTCTTTCTCGTGTTACTATTTGTTTTCCTTCTTTGTTGATCTCTTCATCCACTTGTGTTTTTTTTTTCATTTGATTCATTAAACACCTCTTTTAATTTTCTTTCTTCTTTCTTTTTAGTTTCTCTTTCTTTCATTTCTTTCTTTTGTGTTTTCTTTCTTTCCCTTTTGCTTGCTTAATTGTGTCAACGTAATCTTTTTTTTGTCCTTTTTTCTTCTTCTTTCGCTTCATTGATTTCCCAATCTCCGCTCAATGCAGAGATTATCGCAATACAAATAGAAAACGTAGGTAGAAGTGAGAGGTCATGGAGACAGATTAATATTAAGAGAGAGGGGAACAGAGAGAAAACAAGAGAGAAAGACAAAAACTAATAATAGAAACACAGAGAGAAAGATGGAAAGAATGAGAGAAACAGTGATAGATAAAGAGAAAGAGGGTTAAAAAGGGAGGGAGGCAGATGAAGGAAAATTTGTTCAGATAAACAAATAACTCAGAACATTTCCCACATTAATAGTTTCTTGTCCAAAATAAAAGGCCGATTGTTTTTATTCTACTTGTTTTTTCTTCCGCTTTACACTATTTTGTTTTTGTGTTGCATGTTTCTTTGCCTTGCATCCTTCGGGGTAAGAAGCCCTCACGACCTCTTACGTAATGGTGGCATGATTGCATAGAGAGCGTAAACACCCAACATTTATTAGGGTAAATTGCGTAATAACACGGAGTAAGAAGAAGAAAAAAGGGGAGGAACAGAAAGCAAATAGAAAAGGAGAGAATAAAAGAAAAACAAGGAGGAGTGAAGAGAAGAAGAAGAAGAAGAAAAAAAATGGGAAAAAGCAAAAGGGAAAAAAAAGAAAAAGCGAGAAGTAGTAGAAGAAAGCAAAGCGAAGAAGATTAAGGAAAGAAAAGAAGAAGATAAAGAAAGGTAAAGAAGAAGGAGAAGGGAAGAGAAAGCAAAGCGTTGGTAGAAGAAAAAGACAAAGAAATAGTAATAGAAGCGGAAGCAGAAAGAAATCTGCAAAAGGTAGAAGTAGTAGTAATACTACTACTACAACTACAACTACTACTACTACGACTACTACTAGTAGTAGTAATAATAATAATAATATGAAGAAGAAGAAACAATGGGAAAAAGCAAAAATGAGAAGTAGAAGAAACAAAAGCAAGGAAGATAAAGAAAATAAGTGAAAGAAATATAAAAGAAGAAATTTAAGAATAATCATGTGATAAAGTAAGGAGAATAAGCAGCAGAAAAAGAAGAAAAAAGAGTAGAATTAAAGAAGAAGAAACAATGTGAAGAAAACGAAAGAAGAATCGAAAAGAAGGAGAAAAAACAAGGAGAGGAGAACATAAGAATAAGAAGCAAAAAGAAAAAGAAAATGAAGAAAAAGCAAAAGAAATGGAGGAGTGGGGCGGAGGAGAAGCAGAGAGAAGAAGATGAAGAAAGAGAAATGGAGAAGAACGAAGGAGGAGAAGCAGAAAGAAGAAGTTGAAGAAAAAGAATTGGAGAAGAAAGAAGGAGGAGGAGCAGAGAGAAGTTGAAGAAAAAGAAATAAAAAAGAACGAAGGAGGAGTAGCAGATAGTAGAAGATGAAGAAAAAGAAATGTAGAAGAACGGAGGAGGAGTAGCGGAGAGAAGAAGATGAAGAAAAAGAAATGGAGAAGAACAAAGGAGGAGAAGCAGAGAGTCGAAGATGAAGGAAAAGAAATGGAGAAGAATGAAGGAGGAGAAGCAGAGAGTAGAAGATAAAGAAAAGAAATGGGGAAGAACAAAGGAGGAGAAGCAGAGAGAAGATGAAGGAAAAGAAATGGAGAAGAACGGAGGTGAAGAAGAGAGAAGAAGATGAAGAAAAAGAAATGAAGAAGAACGAAGGAGGAGAAGCAGAGAGAAGATGAAGGAAAAGACATGGAGAGGAACGGAGGAGGTGAAGAAGAGAGAAGAAGATGAAGAAAAGGAAATGGCTAAAAACGAAGGAGGAGAAGCAGAGAGAAGGAGATGAAGAAAAAGAAATGGAGAAGAACGGAGAAGAAGAAGAGAGAAGAGAATGAAGAAAAAGATAGAAGAACGAAAGAAGAGAAGCAAAGGGTAGAAGATTAAGAAAAATAAATGGTGAAGAACGAAGTTGGAGAAGCAGAGAGAAGAAGATGTAGAAAAAAATGGAGAAGATCGAAGGTGGAGAAGCAGAGAGAAGATGAAGAAAAAGAAAAGGAGAAGAACGAAGGAGGAGAAGCAGAGAGAAGATGAAGAAAAAAAAGGGGAGAAGAATGAAGGAGCAGAAGCAAGAGAGAAGAAGAAGAAAAAAGAAAGGGAGAAGAATGAAGGGGAGCAGAAGCAGAGAGAAGAAGATGGAAAAAAAAAGAAATGGAGAAGAACGGAGGAGAAGAAAGAGAGAAGATGAAGAAAAAGAATGGGAGAAGAGGAAGGAGCAGAAGCAGAGAGAAGAAGATGAAGAAAAAGAAATGGAGGAGAATGAAGGAGCAGAAGCAGAGAGAAGAAGATAAAGAAAAAGAAATGGAGAAAAATGGAGGAGGAGAAGCAGAGAGTCGAACATGAAGAAAAGGAAATGGCGAAAAACGAGGGAGGAAAAGCAGAGAGAAGAAGAAGAAGAAAAAGAAATGGAGAAAAACGAAGGAGGAGTAGCAGCGTGTAGAAGATGAAGAAAAAGAAATGGAGAAGAACGAAGGAGCAGAAGCAGAGAGTAGAAGATGAAGGAAAAGAAATGGAGAAGAACGGAGGAGGAGAAGCAGAGAGAAGAAGATGAAAAAAAGAAATGGAGAAGAACGAAAGAGAAGCAGGGAGAAGAAGATGAAGAAAAAGAAAAGGAGAAGAACGAAGGAAGAGAAGCAGAGAGAAGAAGTTGAAGAAAAAGAAATGAAAATGAACGAAGGAGGAGAAGCAGAGGTTAGAAGATGAAGAAAAAGAAATGGAGGAGAATGAAGGAGGAGAAGCAGTGAGTAGAAGCTGAATGAAACTAGATGGAGAAAAACGAAGGGGGACAAGCAGAGAGAAGAAGATGAAGAAAATGAAATGGAGAAGAACGGAGCAGGAGATGCACAGAGAAGAAGATGAAGAAAAAGAATGGGAGAAGAATGAAGGAGCAGAAGCAGAGAGAAGAAGATAAAGAAAAGAAATGGAGAAAACGGAGGAGGAGAAGCAGAGAGAAGTCGAAGATGAAGAAAAAGAGATGGAGAAGAACGAAGGAGGAGAAGCAGAGAGAAGAAGATGAAGAAAAAGAAATGGAGAAGAACGGAGTTGGAGAAGCAGAGGGAAGAAGAAAAATGAAATGGAGAGGAACGAAGGAGGAGAAGCAGAGAGAAGAAGATGAAGAAAAAAAAAAAGAAAGGGAGAAGAATGAAGGAGCAGAAGCAGAGAGAAGAAGATGAAGAAAAAGAAATGGAGAAGAACGGAGGAGAAGAAGCAGAGAGAAGATGAAGAAAAGAATGGGGAGAAGAACGAAGGAGCAGAAGCAGAGAGAAGAAGATGAAGAAAAGAAATGGAGGAGAATGAAGAGCAGAAGCAGAGAGAAGAAGAAAAAGAAAAGAAATGGAGAAAAAATGGAGGAGGAGAAGCAGAGAGAAGAACATGAAGAAAAAAAGGAAAAAAACGAAAAGAGAGAAGAAGAAGAAGAAAAGAAATGGAGAAAAAAGAAGAAGAAGAAAAGAAAAGGAAAAGAAATGGAGAAAACGAAGGAGGAGAAGAAGAGAGTAGAAGATGAAGAAAAGAAATGGAGAAGAACGAAGGAGAAGAAGTAGAGAGAGAAGATGAAGGAAAAGAAATGGAGAAGAAGGAGGAGAAGAAGAGAGAAGAAGATGAAGAAAAAGAATGGGGAGAAGAAGGAGCAGAAGCAGAGAGAAGAAGATGAAGAAAAGAAAATGGAGAAAAATGGAGGGAGGAGAAGCAGAGAGAAGAAGATGAAGAAAAGAAATGGAGAAAAATGGAGGAGGAAAGCAGAGAGAAGAAGAATGAAGAAAAAGAAATGGAGAAAACGAGGGAGGAAAAGCAGAGAGAAGAAGAAGAAGAAAAGAAATGGAGAAAAATGAAGGAGGAGAAGAGAGAAGATGAAGAAAAGAAATGGAGAAGAACGAAGGAGGAGAAGTAGAGAGAAGAGAAGAAAAGAAATGGAGAAGAAAAGGAGAAGAAAGAGAAGAAGAGGAGAAGAAAGAGAAGCAAAGAGAAGAAGTTGAAAGAGAAAGAAGAAATGAAAAAAAATGAACGAATGAAGGAAGAGAAGCAGAGAGAGGAAGAAAAAGATGAAGAAAAAGGAAAGCAGAGGGAGGAGAATGAAGGAGGAGAAGCAGAGTAGAAGCTGAATGAAACTAGATGGAGAAAATGAAGGGGACAAGCAGAGAAGAAGATGAAGAAATGAAATGGAGAAGAACGGAGCAGGAGATGCACAGAGAAGAAGATGAAGAAAAAAGAATGGGAGAAGAATGAAGGAGCAGAAGCAGAGAGAAGAAGATAAAGAAAAAGAAATGGAGAAAAACGGAGGAGGAGAAGCAGAGAGTCGAAGATGAAGAAAAAGAGATGGAGAAGAACGAAGGAGGAGAAGCAGAGAGAAGAAGATGAAGAAAAAGAAATGGAGAAGAACGAGTTGGAGAAGCAGAGGGAAGAAGAAAAAAAAATGAAATGGAGAGGAACGAAGGAGGAGAAAGAGAGTCGAAGATGAAGAAAAGAGATGGAGAAGAAGAAGGAGGAGAAGCAGAGAGAAGAAGATGAAGAAAAAGAAATGGAGAAGAACGGAGGAGAAGAAGAGAGAAGAGAATGAAGAAAAAGATAGAAGAACGAAAGAAGAGAAGCAAAGGGTAGAATAAGAAGAAAAATAAATGGTGAAGAACGAAGTTGGAGATGCAGAGAGAAGAAGATGTAGAAAAAAATGGAGAAGATCGAAGGTGGAGAAGCAGAGAGAATATGAAGAAAAAGAAATGGAGAAGAATGAAGGGGCAGAAGAAGAGAGAAGAAGATGAAAAAAAAAGAGAAATGGAGAATAACAGAGGAGGAGAAGAAGAGAGAAGAAGATGAAGAAAAAGAAATGGAGAAGAACGG